CAACGTCACGGCTGCACAGTCCTCACTTGCTGCTTTAAATTCTCCGTAGGAAGCTGAGCCGAAGCATCGGGTAAAACCACCGTAGGGGATGATGCTGCTGCTGATGTCATCGTCTGGTATTGAGCTACCATCTGAGGCGTCAAACCCTGATTGTAATACATCTGAGCATGCATATTGGGATCGGCGTATTCGTAAGTGTAATTTGAATTAGCCGCCGCTGAAGAAGGAGCAACCGATTGAGAGGGATGATGAATGTGGGGGAAACCGACGTATTGCGGTTGTTGTTGTTGGTGGTGGTGCTGGACTAACTGCGGTGGTGTCGCCCCGGCGGCTGTTCTGTACAATCCTACCCCGGCGGCGGTGGCGGCAGCCGCCATTTCGGGTTTTGAAGAAGGGGGGTTTACTGCCTGGTTGTATACCGTTTGAGGGGGGGCGGCCATGGCAGTTGGAGGTGGGGTTTGGGGGCGGTTGGTCGGTGAATAATCGTTGTAACTGGTTTGCTGCTGCTGCTGCTGCATAGGTGGCATGGTGTAAGCTTGGTTTGGGCGAGACGGAAGGAAGTAGAAGGGATACTGCGGATCAAGAATCGGCTGGTGTGGGTGGTGTTGCTGTTGCGAGGGGTACATTGGGTAATATGACGTCATCGGGATTGCTCCGGCGGGAATATACTGATTTCCGGCGTGGATGTACTGTTGTGGGTGTTGTTGAAATTGAGGGTGGTTTTGATCGAATTGTGTCGATAATACGTAGCCGGATTCTTGCGCTTGCGGCTGCTGCTGCATTTGTATCTTGGAATTGTTTTGATCGCCGGTTTTGGGATCGATCTGATTAGAAGCAATAGCAACCCTAGTAGTGTTTGGAGGTTGTACTTGCATTATTGAATCTTGGTATATGGGTTGTCTCTGCCTAGACAGTGGATTTGTTACACTCCCTTCACTGTTAAACAATTAAATTATCAATACCATAATTCACAACAATTTCTTCATAGGATTGAAAACACAAAAATTACAGAATAAAGATGAAATTTTTAAGAGTTTTGATTACCTTGAAACTGAATCTGGAGAAGCTAAATCGAAGGCAACAGTTTGTTGTCTCTGGTGAAGAAACTGAGGGATCTGCTGTGGTTGAAGCTGAACTTGTTGTACCTGTGGCTGAATTTGTTGTACCTTCCTGTACCCACCGCTATGATCTGATCTTTCGTCGTCGGAAAACACCCGATTGGAGTAATCGCCGCTGACCACCACCGGAACACCGGAGACCACAGCCCCGGCCGCCACGGAACCCCCAATCTCCTCCTGCTTCTGCATCTGAACCAAATTAACATTTCCGGCAACCCCCATCACACTCATCTGCTGAAACTGGTCCTCAATTCCGGACACCAGCACCACCGCTGCCTTGGGGGTTTCATCCACATGAACCCTAATCGGCGGCAAATTCGCCACGGAAGGAGAACTGGAAGTTGAACCAAAAGACGACGTCGTATCCAGCATAGGAGAATCGGGGAGCGAGTGGATATCGTGATTCACTGCGTTATTATTCCCACTCCCGTTTCCGCCGATTTTGGATCCATCCAATTGGGCATCAGCATCTCTCCCACCGGCCGCCGCCGCCGTCGCCTTCCCCACTGAATCGTCGTCCAATCCGAGGAGACAATTGACCGAAGAGGATTCCGAAAACCCACGATCACTAGCGCCCGCGGATAGAGGACTCGCCTTGCAATTGAGGGCGTTGAAGAACCAGTCGTCCGATTTAGTCGACGCGGTCTCGACGAGAATCTGCTCGATGTTGGATGAAGTTTTGGGGAAAAGGAAGAGGCGGAGGCGGCCGGGCTTCGCCGCCCCGCCGACGGAGGAATTATTACAGAGGCGGTCGTATTCATCCACCATATTCTCGAGATCTTCATCGGTGGTGACGGAGATTAAAGAATCGAGGTCCTCGTTGGGGATTTGGTACTTGAGGGAAAAGGATTGGTTGTGGAGGAGGGTTTTGGAGAGGCGGTGGTGGAGGTCGGAGAGGGAGGTATGGCGGTCGATAACGATGATTCGGGTGTCTCCGCCGATGTAGCAGAGATTCTTATCGTGGGGGCGGGGGACTATGTGTCCGCCGTAGCTGCACATGAGTCGGAGTTTCTGTGAGAGTTGGTTCGGCGGAGGGTCGGCGTCCCAGGAGTCGGTGTGGCGGGAGCGGGGGGAGGAGTCGATGGATTCCGGGAGGTGCGCCGCCGTGGGGGTGGTGGTGGCTGGGATGGGCGGAGCAACGGAGGGTGGGGGTGGGGCCTCCATTGGGGGAAAAAATGAAAAAAGCCAAGAGAGAGAAAGAAGAGAAAGAAAGGGTGGAAGGAGGTATCCTGGCTGGACTTTAGCCTATTTTTATACTTCTTTCTTACTCCAGCTGTTCTCCAATTTTTTTATTTTTTTATTTATTACACTTTTCTTTCTTCTTTTTATTTATTTTTCTTTCATTTATTCTCAAAATATATTCAAATTACAATGTATTTTATCATTTTATCATTTTATGTAGGAAATAAATTGGAATAATTTTCTCTTTTAGTCAATTCCCATAAAAAAAAACGATTTCGGAACAATTTTTTTTAATATATATGAGATTCTGATTTTCGACTATTTAGTTTTCAAAAAATCCAATTTTCAAATGTTACTCTTATAGGAGTAATATCAGTGTTGTTATATATTGTTAAATTTTAGATGAATCAAAAATTGGAGTTTCCGATTTTTCAAGTCCAATTTTCGAAATTACTATTTCTAATTTTTCTTATTCTTTTAACTGAATTAGAATTATTATTTTTTACTTCAGAAAAAAAATGTGATGTTTTTGAAAGTTAATATGTCCGATTTTCGCCCTTCATTTAGCTATTTCTCAAAAAAATTGACAAAGTAACTGCAACAATTCGAGGTGTATTCAAAAATATTATCTATGTATAATAGTATGCAAATCAACGGAGAAATATAAATCACACTAAATTAATATATGCAATATTTTCGATTTAGAAAGTATTGTCGAAAGAAGTTTGAATTCGAATAAAATGAGAGTGCATTTGCAGTCAATATTATTCATTTAGCTACTTTATTTAGGTATAATATAATATGGTAATCATCTCAGTGTTATTAGCACATCCCAATATGTTATGTGCGTTGCTATTTAAATGTTTGACTTTCTGTGCTGACATATTTTTTTTCTAAATTTGTTTATATGAAATATTTAGCTATAGAAAATATTATATTGGAGTTGAAATATTTTTGAGAAAAATATATATATATATATATATATATATATATATATATATATATATATATATATATACACAAAAAAGAGCACAAATATAATATATGGTCAACCATTAATATATTACACGATATAAAATACATACTAAATATTGGGTGTGGGTGTGTGTATTAGTTTGTATATGAATGATAAAGATATACCCGATATATTTCACCCGTTGATTATAATATAGATACTGATGATGCAATTTTCTATGGAAAAAAAAAACCAATTTTCCTATTTGACAATT